ACTTGGCGCATTTTCGTACCATGTGGAGGTAAGGTTTCCGTTTGCAGAAGTACAGTCCATTACATATTTACTTGGTATAGTGAAACCTGTGCGTTATGTTATCCATCAACAACTGTTCGCGTTTTTTCTAGATTGAAGAAATCCCAGCCATGAAAGGCCAAGGTTTTTTTGGTAAGAAATTAATTATGTATATTTGATTTCTTTCTTATTACTTCTTCAGGGAAACTGATCAATACTGTACTTGCTTCACTACAGTATATTCCTTTTCTAGTACTAGATAAATTCTTACACACTGCTTGTACAATTCTTACACTGAAACTCTGTGGTAGACTGGCACTTTAATTGACTGTATCTGTATATTTCACAGATATTAATAAGTAAACATCTTATTCTATAGGTTCATTTCCTGTAAACAAGGCCACCACTAAAGGATTGCTTTACAATTCACCTGATTACCAAGAATCATTATGGACAATAACGAAAGCGTGAGGACCTACTGTAATCTTCGTAGATTTAGAAACATTAATTTGATAACACCCTCGTTACCAGAACTGGTAAAATTCGGGCAAAGAAAGAACCATTACGAAAGTACATTCATTTGGTCACTGACGGTGGTAATTTACAGAACATTAAACATGCAAAAACTTACACGCGAGTCATTTGTGAAACAAGTTCATCAGATAAACATATGGATTCCCTTTTGTGGCTGGACTAGAACTAAAGTCAACTAGGGATCCAAGGATAGTGCAAAGTTTTCATGCCCTGTAATACCTAAGCAACCAGACGTTTGTCCCAACATAAACATTTTGACTTATGCCAGTAAAAATATAATGAACTAGGTTAAACATTAATCAAAAGGAAATTACTTGAAGTACTCAAATTACGTTAGCTGCGGATACTGTCACTATTAAATTATAATTTTAGTCGCCCATGTAAACTGGCCTAACTCGCTAACTGGGCGCGATTTTCTCAGTGTAGTCTCTTTTCTTCGTCAAACAACTGTGACTACATTCACTACATTTATATGATGGCTACAATTTATCCGTCACTTCATAAGAATAGCCAAAATAGTTGCGTTGTAAATAATGTAAATAAACCGCGGTGCATATTATGGCTATGATGTCGATACTTCGACGCGTAAATCGATACAAAACAATATACTTATAATCAATACTGTATACCGCCAAAATGATTTGAATACTGCACAAAATGTCCGTTTTGAATAGTATCATTTATGTACTGTATGCAGAATATCAGGTATCGACTTGCTATCGACATAATATACATGTGTAAGAGTCTATAAATACATAAACAACACAGCGTCGTTTCTTCCTAACCTCTTAGCTCTATTTATGGAATAAACCTGCCAAATTATATTTGTGTTGAATTGAATGGTCGTAACTCATAACATAAGTTGATAAATTGCGTAGATTCTCAAAGAATTGCTCGATTTTTATGCCCGGAATGTTTTGAAGCAATGCTCGTCGCTCCTCGTTTTACATCGTGAATAATGTTCAAGTCTCGACGGCACATGCGCAGTTGCGACGTGTGAGAAAGAATCGGGTGTTCCGGGGGGTAATTCTGCGCAAATCCCTTTTAAACAAAACCCAAACCGAGGAAAAGCAATGCTTCAAAATTTACAGTAACCGCCAAAATTCCTCAATATTTTGGTGAACTTAGCAAAAGGGATACAGTGCATTAATAAATAAAGCAAGTTAAACTGATTTAAAAACCTTAAATTATTGATCATATACAAAAAGTTACTACACGCATAAATCAACCTACCCCCCGTAAAGTTTACACTATGACTGACTGACTGACTGTCTGACTGACTTACTGACTCGTTTGAATTTTTGCCACTCATCACAATACTGCAAAGTTTCTCAAACTTTGCACTAAAAACGGGCAGTATAACCTACTATAATCATGGTTTTAATATGCTTGGTCATGGGTATGTGAATATTGGATCATAAAGGAGAATACTGGATAATGATAACAATGAATTGTTGAACATAATGCAGTTGTTTATAACAACAAGTATACTGCATTTTACTTCTTCCTAACAAGCAATAATCCTGACGTTGATAACGCTGAATATGATCGTATGATTTATGTGTATATTATGCACTCTACATTCGATATTAGACTAAATGTCATTAAACCACTAGAGATGCCAATTGTGTCTGTGTCTTTATAATAACAAGACGCTCTGCAGAGCGTTAACTCGCTGGGGCTATAGAAATATGCACTAATTGAGGGACCAGACCTGTGTACATATTTGTTTTAACTTTTAAATCCATTTTTCTGAGATTAAGGCATTTTTGGCTTTAAGAAAGGATATATATCTTGACTGGAATTTAATCAATTGACCTAAAATTTTAAGTATAAATCCCCCTCAGAGTTATTAGGGTAATAACCAAAGGATTTTTCAGTGTAATGTTTGCAACATCAGATACTGGGGAAAATTGTGCCAATAATATAGCTGAAAAAGTCAGTAATTGTGAAACACCCATAGAAACCAAGCTATTTAAGACACTGAAAAGTTCTCAGTGGTCATTACTATAAATAATCTTTAAGCTTCAAATCAATTTAAAAATTTTTAAATTCTATCTAATCTGGCACAAGATATTTTTTCTGAACCGGACTATGGTTTGAAAGGTTACAATGATTGATAAGTATCAGATTAACATCATAAGAACCGCACACTGTCGGCGCACAGTCTGGGTACCAGAGCTCTCAGGATGGGCGGATGGCGCACAGTCTGGGTACCAGAGCTCTCAGGATGGGCGGATATAGCGAACGCCATGCAGACTCATAGGTCATTAGCTAATTTATAGCCAAGGAAAGAAGCCAATTTTTTTTTGTTTTCTTGTTCTCATGACAACAACTGAGTGTCAGTTTAATTTCCACTGATCATGTTGTTCGGTGTGATAAGGTGCAGACGTTTGGTGCTCTATGGTGGCCGAGGACTGCCAACAAATTTCTCACAGGATAAATGAAAATTCTTTTAAATTTCCCGTTTTTATTACTATATTTTTTTATTTTTAAATCTTTGTTTTATTTATTTTTTTTTTTTGAGATGTCTCTATAAAAATTTTTTTTCAAATGCTATTTCATGATGACAATAATAATAAAAAAAATAATCTCGTGGCCGAACGCTGCCACTACCATGATGCACTGCACGGAAAAAATTAAATGCAGGCATGCTACCGCAGGTGCGTTCCATCTAAATGTGTCAAAATGGCAGAGGCCGCATAGAAGAGATTAAATGCTAAAGTGAAGGCTAAGCGAACGAAGAAAGCAACATCATCGCAGAATCGTTCAAAACCAAAGGAACTTACGGTTCAACGTTTGTCTGCTGAAGTGTATGGAAAAACACAGAAGTATACAAGAATTGGCCCCAGAGAATTTGTTCCTGTCAAGGTTGGTGAATCAGGCAAATAATCTGTTGCATATTCATATTTTTAAATATTTTTTTATAATATAGGTAATAGGTTTTCTACATCATTGGATGGTGGAGCATTGCACAACAATTCTTTATATTAGCATTGATGTTAGCCCAATCAAGTGCAGAAGAGACTGTATTGAAAATTATATTATATTCTTTGAAATTATATTATATGAAAAATCTTGAACCCAGGTTTCTCTCTTTAAACGATAATGATGATATTGATGACAATGATGATAATGATTTGACGATTGAGTGCATAAAGAGAGCATGTGAAAGTCACTTTCTTCCCCAAATTGGAAAGAATGTTACATGTGATGTCCTTGCTGGAGAGCAAGGGCCATCTTGTAAAACTTTTGACCAGATCCCAGATACCAAGGTTATTTATGTCCGGTTTATTCCAACAGCTAGTGACATGAATAGTCATAGCAACACAAAACATCGGCAAGATAACCAACAGCGCAGTGATCGCCCTGCATCAAAAAAGAGCAAGTTTTCCCTTCCCCAAGTTGTCAAGTCAAGTCCAACAAAGCCTGTAAACAGCACCTCAAAAAAACCCCGCCCTTCGGTTTGCTGCCCACGTAGTTTGTCAGTTTCAGAAATGATTAAGCTTGGGAAATTAAACAAACAAAGCGAAAACACTACCATTTTCAACATATACAGATTCGACATGGAACTGCTATCCTGGTCCAAAATCCCTACAGTAGTTGAGTTCACTGAAGAAAAAAAGCCAATAGGCTGTGGGGGTTTTCGTAAAGCTTTTAAGGCAACATCCAAGCATTCAGAGTTTAGTGGATCAGCATAGGTTATTAAGCGGTACATCCCTGAAGCTTTAAAATGCATTGAGGACACTGGGCAAACATATGAGCAACATAACCGGAAGGATGAGCAACATAACCGGAAGGTTGTTCAAATGCACTTACTGGCTAGAAATTTTGCACTTAAGCTTGAGGAGCAAATCAGGAAAAACAGCAAGAGTGTTACATTTGAATTGAAATACAGGAAAATATTCCACGGAGAAACAGAAAACAAAGAGTATGTTACCATTGAAGAATTCATACCCGGGCAGGTCACAAAGTATATCAACAATGATGGTTCATGCTGTGTTGATGTTTCAGATGCAATATGTCAACAAGCCCAATGTTTGGCACATTATTCTTATGAAAAATCTGAGAAAAAATTAATTGTGCTTGATATTCAGGGCAGTGGGTGTGATCTTTATGATCCTGAGATAGCTTCTGTTGAATTATTGGATGAAGAAGAGCAATTCCTTTATTGCACTGGTAATTTGTCAAAACTTGCAATTAATAATTTTGTTAATAATCATCAGCGCAACGAATTGTGCCAAGTTGCTGGACTTGAACCATTATAAAACATTGCTCTTTGGACCACCAGTATAGCATTGAAAACTGTTCTGGTTTTGACATTATTAAATGTTCATATTAAGTTTTAATTCAAACAAAAACTTTGCATGGAGAAAAATACCAGACATTTCTAAATACTTTAATGTTTATTTTACTCTATGCAAGCTTTTGCTTGCAGACACCAGTCATCAATCATTAAGATTTTGTTTTAAATAAATGAAAGCTTCTTTGCAGTCAGCTGGCTTTAATAGGTCTATAAATTCAGGGGTCAGAAAATCTTCTGCAATACCCAGCACACCAGATTCAACAGCAGCTTCTTTAATCTGATCTTCTGTTACTGGAAATCCTGTAGTTGAAAATAAAGAGATTTCATGTCTAAAAAAAGCTGCAAGAACCACATGTATAGAACCACATGTATTGGCTTAAGTGCACTGTACTTTTGGTGCAGTAATACAACCCTACACACTGACCTGCAAGGTAACTATAGTCCTATTATAAGGGGTCTTTTGTTGCTAATAGTTCATTAATTTAACATTACCACATTCTTCAAGTCCATATTGCTGAGGAAAATTGTATATATGGTTAGGTATCCCATCAGGTAAGACTGTATCTTTCTGCATCCTAATTCGGTGGGTGTTCCAAATGGTCTCTTTAAATGTGTCCAATTCCTTCTGAACAATTGGAACCATAATGAAAGCAAGAAGCATTCTACAACAGATATGGTATATTTAAGAGGTTATGTAGTAAACTGTAAACAATATTTTTAGTTCAGACATGTAAGCAGCAAGTTTAGTTAATCAAACAATATGCAGGTTCCTTGAGGACTGAGTAATAAGAAAGTGAGGCATGTTTTAATTTTCAAAACCTTTTAGATAATTTGACATATGTTTTCCAAATTCAGATGTTTGCAGTGAATGACACACTAAATTAGGAACAAAGCCTTTACATACTCAAATTTAAATAGTTTACAACAGGTCCATTCTAAAATAGAAGTGGGATATATCCAAAATACAAAGGAAGTTTGTACCTGTCAACTTCATCATGGGGATCATAATGAGCTTGATCTTTTAACCAACGCAACTGATCTTTGAAAAACTTCTCCATCCTCTCATGGAGTTCTTTCCACCAACGTTCTATCTATATGTTAAAGAAAGACAAATTTTCATTTCCAATAGCTGCACATGACTCATGAATTATAATCGGCCCTAAACTTTTTTTGAAACCTGATAATCCTACAACAGTCCTACTTTCACTGCCCCCCAAACCATAAAGAATTAACACTTTCTTACTTGATTTGAAGTGGAAGGACCATACAAAATTGTATCTGCTGGATCCATTCCATCTGTGTGATGTCTTCGCAGGAAAGCATGAATGGTAGCTAATGTTCCCGTCTCTGTTCCTTTATCAACTCTCATCATTGCAGACACAACTTTAGTTTCCAGCAGGTGCTCAATGTACCAGCGCCCAATCAATTGTGGATTGGAGTTACTCGTCCATACCCTCAACCACAATAGCTTTCGACTGGCTGTGTCCAAGCAGCCATAGATGGCAATGGGAAACGTGGAGTTTTGGTAACCCATTAATTTGTCATGGCCATCTAGAGAATGTACCCAGTTTGGCCCATTCGAGGTAAAATTGCCTTTTTTCTTTTTTTTCTTGGCCCCTACCCCTCCACGAGCTTCAACTCCATCAGGATCAAGGTCGTATAGCATATCATAAACTTTATCACGGCTTACAAACAAGTCATACTTTTGCCTGATTTTTTTGTGCATTGCTCTATATCCCAGTAGCTTCCCAGGGCCTTTCAACTCTTCATTCACTGCACTTCTAACTTCTTCAAAGTTGACATTGTTGTCATTATAATTGATTTCGAAATGCCGTAAACGCCTATCCAAAGATCGTACACTCCAGGGATACTGTGGGTAATCCCGGCGTAAAAAATCCAAAGCCTCCTCTCTTTTTAGTCCCTGCTTAACATATTCTTTCATCGCTTTTTTTAAATTTTCATCAAATTTCCACTCTGCAAACCTGTTGTCGGCCGCCATTTCTGCTGCCTGACATGGCTTACATGCCCGCAATTAATTTTTTCCGTGCAGTGCATCATTGTAGTGGCAGCGTTCGGCCACGAGATTTTTTTTTTATTGTTATTGTCATCATGAAATAGCATTTGAAAAAAAATTTTTATAGAGACATCTCAAAACAAAAAAAATAAATAAAACAAAGATTTAAAAATAAAAAAATATAGTAATAAAAAAAGGAAATTTAAAAGAATTTTTATTTATCCTGTGAGAAATTTGTTGGCAGTCCTCGGCCACCATAGTGCTCATGTCTTGAATACACAAGGTCACATGATTGGGACCTGAATCCAAGTAACTGAAAATCCCTAGACCGTTAGCTGACCATGCCTGCACCCAACCGTCTACACCGGTGGTAGGTATTGTTACGACAAGCATTAATAATGCATTTGACATCCGTCAGTACAATTTCTTATACGCTGGACAATAGTATTTTTATCCCTATTAATTGCGCCATTACTATTAGGCATTACAAATACTGAAATACAGTAGTCAACACCATATGCACATCACACGACACTACACTACAGTTTTCACGTTTCCACAGCTAATTATTAGCGGCCGTTGTTGTAGTTTAAGTTATAAATTTTTACCTCAAAATTGTCTTGAAATTCACGCGTTTATATTCTGATTCAGTATACCAAAAATCCAAATTTCGCATTTAAAGAGTCGTGCGAGTCATCAAGAATAGTGCATCAACTAAAAGAATGTCCAGAGTTGACACATTGCAAAATCTACACAAAACAAGCATATTTCGTTGAAAAATTTAACGAAATTGTTTTAAACGTTTTGCCCACTCCGCGAAAGGCCTGCCATTTTGAAAAGATAAACAAAATTCCTTGTAAAATTTGGTCAATTTCCCCAAATTTTCCTCAAAACGGCAGGGTTTTTATGGATAACTTGGATATAGATTAGCAGGAACCTTATGGATAATTTGGGTAAAAATAGCTCATTAGTATTCTATTTTGTGCCTAACTACGATTGGAGATCTGACATCGGAGAATGGAGATCCGCGAACCGAAAACTATACTCGTCTGGGGCACAGGTGCCCCAGCGAGTAATTACGAGGTCATTACCCGTGAACAGTGTCGTAAGAACTGGTAGTGCTTTTACGGCCAGTGTGAACGCCTGAGCAGGCGTCTTGTTTTAGGATAACTTCAAGGCTATCATGGAAGAAAGTAAGAAAAGTTTGCTTATTTGTAATTAAATTCAGTTATGTATCTTATCAGGGATGAACAGAAACAATGAGAGAGGCATAAAAAACAACAAATCAGCCTGGATTTATTTTATACTGATTACCTGCATATCACAATTATTTACTTAAAGTGCGTATAAACCCTGTTAATTCTGATAGAGCATAAAAAATTAGTTATTAAGTTCTACATTAGTTTTTTGCTTAGATTCTTAATTTCAGAGATACAGGGCTCAAACATGCAAATTTAGCCATTTTTTGAAAAAAAAGTAGCGCGACCAAAATATCAGCAAAGGGCCTGGATACTAGGAACTCATCTAGGCGATGAGTTGTTTACGGCTGTTCTAACACAGCAGATACAACCAATGGTATCTCTATATACGAGATACCGTTCTGGGGTGAAAACTCGCCCATTGCAGCTAAACGAAGGGCAAAATGGATCAACTTCGTTCGTCGGAAGCAAGACAAATGGACGTTGTGTGCTCACAACATATTACTGAAGACTGCTTTCAGTTTGGTTCAGATGTGTGACTCCCAGACTAAAACGGGATGAGCACGGAATTTGTGTGTATCCTACGATAGACACAAAATTAATCGGTACAGAAGACAGTGAGCGCACGAAACATGCAAAGCAAAGGGTAAGCTGAAATTTGAAAGTACATTTTTAATATTCTCAGCGCTTTTTAGCTATTTAATATTTCAAACGTAACTTTGAAAAATTAAGTTATGTGCGCATTATTCTGCATGTATATTGGCTGGTATAAAGGCTGTCTATATTGGCTGGTATTTATATTTGTATTCGGAATATTGTTTACCAGATGCTATTAGCATTCCTTTGTCACACACATGATATATGAGCAAGAGATCGTTGTTCGCTCTCGCTGCTTCCATGTTGCTCCGTCAAACATGCCTCAGACAGAAGTTCCAGCCGACATATGAAGGAATTCATGGCCAATTCTTTATCCCAGATGTGTCAAGGACAGACAGGTTTTTGGCTACGGAAAAGAGAATTCAGCAACTCTTGACGCCATCACCAGTAAAAAGGCTTGCTTGGGTAAACATGTATTCAAGTCCAAAGGAAACAAGCAGCAACATCAGCAGGTTTATTAGTCATATGTAAGAATATTAAATATAAAAAGTGTAGTAAAAATAATATATTATGCCATTGTTGTTTTCATTGGTATAAAGAGTCCTTCTAGGTATTTAGGAGTACTGGGGTACAGTACATCCAATACATCTGAATCCTTTATTCCCATACTCTGGTTGGAGTTTTTGATAGCTTTGATAGTTGGTGTTTCTGTGTACATCCAGTGTCTAATTCTTTTGTCATATTTGAAGGAAATACCCATAGGATATAGAATAAGTTCAAAAAGTCACATGCTGCATGAGAGTGCACTGACACAGTCTGTGAAAAGTGAAAGTCTTTAGAGTATTATGATATCATTTTTTAAAGATGATGTTTCCAGCAGAAGCCCTTTGTGATCACCTGACATCATGGTAATCTAGCAGTAATACTGTGTTGTATAGTGTTTAGGCACAATAATTTTAAATTCATTGAACTTTGATCAACTTCCATACAAGTCAAGCTTCCAAGTGCTGCAATTATTCCATAAAAAGTACAATGTCAACATTATATCTGATAATCCAGATTTGGTGGATGCATTTCCCTGTGAGCACTGAGCTGGTACAATGATTGACATTAAGAGGTTCGGTAACATCCACACCATTCATTAAGCCTGAGTTCGACTAGCTGGGTCTCACAAGAAGGTTCAGTTTATGTGGGTAAAGGAGTTGAGCCAGAGTGTTGGAGCCAGTAACATGCTGCAGACTAAATGCCATTTTAAGAATTTTGTCCATTGGTTCACTACATATCGACATAATCCATACTCCATACCACTATTAATCCATGTACAGTTTAATGGTGTTGTAAAGCATAATATATAAGATGTACTTCAGTCTCACCAATAGATACAATACTCTGTAGCATATCTTTAACAAACTTCTCTTAATTGGCTTCCATATTGCATTGTACAGCACAAAAATAATTTGAACACTACAGGGTGTATCAAAAAAAATGTCCCAAATGTAAAATTTCCGTTTTTCAGGATATTTTGCAAAATTTGGCAAATTTTTGCGTTCCTAGAGATAGTTAAGACCTATCTGGTATACCTAGGCCAAGTTTGGTTTTTCATTAACAAAATTACGTTAACGGGGGGGGGGGTGGATATTGGGGGCGCGAAAATGTGAAGCTGAAATTGAGATATTATTTAGCTGTCTAAAAGTAGGAAAGCTTTTTAATAAACTGTGAAAGTTTCAGGAAAAGTAATGCATACTGGGAGCAACGCGCGACTTCTAAAGGTGACAAATATTTCATTGCGCGCAGTGGATTAAATGCATCGTTGATTTTAGCGTGACCGATTTCATGTAAGGCTGGGCAAATAAATAAATTCAAGTGAGAAACTGAACACAAAAACAAAGCGATTTATTCGTGATGTTAATCCTCAGCATGTCCACCATTTCATTCTAAGCAAACTGCGGCTTGTCTGAGCATACTAAACACTGAACAGCGAACCTTTGTCTGTCCATTCCCCTAGATTTGCCGGTGGTAGCGTAGGCGATTTGCAAGAAAGAATTTTGAACGAAATGGATAATAGGAGGCAGGACAGACAAATGTGGTTCGCCGTTCAGTGTTCACCATGTTCAGACGAGCCGCAGTTTGCTAAGAAAGAAATGGTGGAAATGTTGAGGATTAACATCAAGAATAAAAATCTTGTTATTAAATTGCTTCGTCTTCTTGTTCAGTTTCTCGCTTTAATTCATTTGCCCAGCCTTGCATGAGATCGGTCACGCTAAAATCAACGATGCATTTAATCCACTGCGCGCAATGAAATATTTGTCACCTTTAAGGGTCGCGCATTGCTCCCAGTTTGCATTATTTTTCCTGAAACTTTGACAGTTTATTAATAAGCTTTCCTACTTTTAGACAGCTAAATAATATCTCAATTTCAGCTTAACATTTTCGTGCGCAAGCCCTCTCAATATCAGTGGAAAGGAACCACCCCCCCGGTAACATAATTTTGTTAATGAAAAACCAAACTTGGCCTAGGTATACCAGATAGGTCTTAACTATCAATAGGAACACAAAAATTTGCCAAATTCTGCAAATTATCCTGAAAAACGGAAATTTTACATTTGGGACATTTTTTTTGATACACCCTGTAGATCTATGGCAAATGGCATAGCAACAGGATCCAGTGTTAACTAACAGTCTTTAACCATGTGAAATCTTCAGTACAATAGTTACTTCCAGTATAGTCCATTTTGTATGTGCAGTAGGTACTTTATCTCCATTGGTTCATGTCAGGCAAGATGTGGTTCAATGGCTATAATTATTTAATCCTGAAGAAACAACAAAATGTCAATGTTAAACAGCCATACCTGTTGGAAAAACAAATTATTACTACAATGTGATCAGTGTAATCCAAGTGCAATAACTAGACAGGATACATACCTTTAATATATTTGATGGAAGATGGATGCCAACCAGACATGATAGTGCTATATCAGTATTTTGTTATTGGGCCTAGTCCTATGGTTATGCATGCAAGGTTGTGATGGCCAATGAAAAGGAGGGAGGTCATAATTTTGCTTTACAAAATGAAGCCAATAAAATAGAAATTATTGTCATTTTCCAAAACAAAGCCTCCCCCCCCATTAACCACCACCATTGTAATATGAAATAATAAATCACCAATTGCAATAATTGAAACACCACCAAAGTCTTGTTTGCTGCCTTTAATATATTTTAAACGGTTGTTTATTTGTACTGTAAACATGTTATTTTCAACCATTGAGACTTCATCTAATAATATTAGTTTCACACCACCTAACTGAGTGTGCAAGGTATTTAACCGACTTGAATCTAATGGTTTATAATTTCTAAGAGATTGATTTTCTAAGGTATTGCAACGGTACTATGTATTGTGTTCCCATTAATAAGGTAGGCAGCTTGGAGCTAATAAAAGTGTTTTAACTTTGTCCAAATGAGACTATAATTCATTGATGATGGAAATCCATAATTCATTGATGGAAATCCTCTCCAGCACGTGTGTTATAGTATTTGAGAGCAGCTTGATAAACTGATCTTGTCAAATGAGATTTACTAACCTCCACCACTTAAGAAACAATAAAATGGTTTATCAGACGTTTTAATGAGATGTAAAGGATGATTAGGATTTTGTTTCTTGTTCAGTGATTGTACCATTGTTCTGTATTCATCATCCTGCATTTCATTCAGCACGAGTGGCTCACTGGTTACTGATGTTGATGGAATACCAAGATCACCTGATAAATCATATCTTTCATTTAGATCAGGATGTAAGTCAACATCACCTTCACTCTGGTCTTGCAGTTCATTATGTTGTGTGACTGGGGCAATGTTATCAAACTCGTCATCATTCACCATCATGCTGCTCTAACCTGCTTTGGATGTCATTTAGATCCTCTGCACAAACTGCATACTGATCCATTTGTTCTGTTATTTGATCAGCTAAGACTGCATAATGTTATTGATATGAGCTGTATTTTCCAATAGATCAGTTTCTTCGTTTTTCCAATGGGTGAAAAGCATAATTAGTTCACGGTAATGTTTCTCTGGGTTGGCTTCTCTGTTGAACCACACACTTCTGATGATTCGAGCTTTCTGCCTTTTCTTTGGTTTATTAACTTTTAAAACCTCTGTATTGTTCTCATCACATACTTCATCATCATTATTCTCATCATCAATTGTTTCTTCTGGAAGACAGTCAATGTCAAGTTTAGATGGTTTCTTTTGATATGGTTTTGAGCTACAAGAATCATACCATGCTGCCCAGTCAGCTAAAGTGACATTTTCGAGAGAGTGTGGTCGTTCAACATATTGTTTTAAAAGACCTCCTGCATGAACTGCCTCAGAATCATCCTCCATATGCTCAATTTCACTCAATGGTTTCAATATCCGAACTCTTACTTCAGGAGGAGATGTATTAATAAAAATCACACTACGAGAAGCTTTTCTCATTGGTAACTGAAGGCCTATATAGACAGCTTCTTGTGCACTGATTTCAACACTATTGAGGAATTTTTTACCAATATCTCGTACTTGTTGTTTGATACTAGCATTGCCTTATCTTGCTTCTTCACATGCTTTATGCAATAATTCACTCATGCCTTTTTGCACCTTAGAAATGTAAGAGATAATATACATGGCACAAGCATATACATCAAGAACAAACTGAATGTCCATATTAGCCCTCCATGCTTTAAGACATGCTGGGTTATAATTATTTACTCTAAGTTCATTTGGTTGTCTTTCTAAAAATACTGTGGGACAGTTCAGAGATGACCGTAAAACTAATAGATATTTTTCTTCTGAGATTCTTGAAGAAATTGATCAAAGGTGATATTCTCTCCATCTTTCATATCATTTAGTTTTGTCATGACATCTTTCCACTGCTGCATTAGTGTTTTTTTATGGCCTTGAGAATATGTATCTTCAAGTGGATGTAATATCATAGTTGATTTCACGGGTGGCTGGGGATAATTAAATCTACAAACATTCTTAGATTTCTTGCGGCATGTGTGGGAATGTCTGTGCATCTGTCTATTAACCAGATCAAGCAGTTCTGGCTCATCATCTGGTTTCTGACATGTAATAATTTGGTCAATAAATGAAGCCACATCCTTATCATCACTAACTTCAAACACAGGTGCATTCTCAAGCCATATCAGCATGTGTATATGAGGCGAGCCTCGTTGTTGGTATTCAACTCTATAAAACCAATCTTTGATTTTTCCTAAGGGTGCAGTGCTACTCAACAAAAATTGCCTTAAAAATGTATTAAATTGGAAATCAAAGTGTCGGGCACATGTTACTGGATCACTTTGAATTAACCTACATTTATCATTCCAATCTAAATTGTCAAGTTCAACATCACTGTAGTTTTTGTTGTCAACAAGCTTGCCTAGTATTCTAAGTAAATGGTTCCATTTTGTTTCTGCAGATGAGAAACTGCAGAACAATGTTGCTGGACCAAGTTGACGAATCATGGAAACAATCTTTTTTTGCTTTTTCAAAATAAGGTGGTGATCCTCGTAATGCTCTTAAAAATTTGTACCCTTCATCATGATGAATAAGGTTCTCAAGACTACCCTGTTGTTTTAAATGACCTGCAGTGATTGCCTGATTCCCAGACTTACATTTTCGTAAAGCGATTTGGGATTTCCCTAAAAGTATTTTCATTTGCAGTTTCTTGGTTTTAAAAAAAATATTCTCAACACACTAGCAGCTCTGCGGTCTGAACGTCTTAACTCAGATTTACATATTTCACTGTGGTATGCACTGACTAGTCGTTCTTTGTCACCTTGTCGTTTTTGCTTAAGAAATATACCAGGGTATGCTAGTTCTTCAGAATGTTGGTCTCTGAATATACTGAGTGGTGTATTACCTTCACCAGGAGCAATGCTATAGATGCCCTCTCTCTCACCAACACTGAGAAAATCTGTGGCAGTGAGCATACTATCAGTGACACCTGCTGGAATTTCTGCCTCATCCTCACTCCAGCCATCATCATTTACATTATTTTGTTTATTATTAGTCATGTTACCTTCATTGTTACTTGTAGCACTTTCAATATCAGCAGTGGCACTTGTATTAAATTGCTTTGCCCAGTTGGCATCAAGTGTGACCCCTTGTTCTTTATAGAGATCATTGTTGTTTGCTAACCATGCCGCTGCTTGTAAAACTTTATGGGGTCTAACATTTAAAGATAATGCTGAACTTTTGTATTGTAGACGTCTCTTTAATTGGACTTTAATAGTTCCAGACTCATGAGGTAACCTTGGTAGCAAATTGACAGTATTAGTGACATCAGCTGGTACATTTACTACATTGCCATTGATCTTAAATTGTTTACCTCTTGGTGCTTGCATAATCTTTTCAAAGGCTAACCTTGGAGCAATAAGCCTACATTCCAATTCATTTAGGTCAAAGAAACCAGGCTTGGATGAGAATTTCATTCCATTTGTCACGGCACATGGTGGCACTTTATTCTTTTTTAAATACTTGTTACATGATTGACAAATCCATTCTTTGCCATTAACACTAATTATTCCTTGCAAATGCTTGGCCATGTTGGTACTGGACAGACGAAGGTTATTTGCACATTGAACACTGTGCTTGTACCATAATTGGTCACAACATGTACAAATATATAATGGGCCTTCTGATACAGCCTCATGGAATTTTTTTACTAGGTTATTAATGTTCTGCTGATAGTTCTCCTTATTTTGTGCAAACCTGGCTTTCTTGTGCTCAAGTGTTTCACTTTGACTAAATTGCTGATCATATCGCTGTTGTGTTGCAAGTCTATTTCGTTTTTGCTCTATAGTTTCATTTTGTCGTTTTACCTGTAGATATCTCTTGTTTTTCAATAAACGTTTCTCTCTAGACTCACAACTTTCGCTCACTCATTTTTGTTTAGCATACTCCCTTTGTTTTGATAACCTTTTCTCTCTTTGCTCAGGTGTTTCATAGTGTCACGTTTCCTTTTTTTGCATTGATTGACAGCATTTTTGTCAACTGGGCTATGACCTATTTTTGTACATAAATTATTCTTTAGTACTGATTGTTCATCTTCCATTGCATGCTCTAAAATTATTGGTGTCCTGTTGCTCAATCTTGATACACCCTGACTATTTAGATAAACATTTACTGCTTTAATTTCAAAAGGCATTATACCCTTAGCTGATACAGTCTGAAAGTATGAAACAAGGTTTTGATACTGCTTGCTGTAATTAAAATGCATTTTCCAAATGGACTTGAGGCACCAAATAAATCTCTGGCATGAGAATCAAATATTCTGAAAGATCCATCTGCCATTTTAAATATTGCCACAGTATTGCAACTAATGGTAAGAAGAGCGTAAGTGTAGTTCAATTCAGACGACAGAAATATTTTGTTCATTGCACTTTGAAGTGTGAAATAAGGTTCATTATTCTGTGCCATAAATACATCCCCAGCATATGACTCACTGTATTGTAAATTGTATATTGTTTCATTAATAGAAACCATCTCAGGTACATAGGTCAATGATAACAGGTCTTTGTTTACAGAATTAGTGATAATTGTATAAAGTTCATTTCCATGTAATAAAATTGTATTTAACAATGCTGAATTCCAGCTATTAACATCTTGTATTTGGCTGAAAACTATTGCTGTCAAAGACATAGCAACACATTGCTTTCCTGCACTGTCCCTAAATCTAATTTGACAACCTTGACTGAAATCAGCACAGATAGTTTGGGTACCATCGATGATATCACACAGTGCTGGTCCTGGGTTAGTTTCAACATCACTTGACAATCTTAATAAACCAGGTACATAGACTTGGTGATAACGAACCATTTTAATAAACCAGATAATTGTCTCATTTGATTTGCTATATTGTTCATTTATTTGCCTTAAAGCTGGAAAGTAAAGACATTTAAATAAAATAACATTAGCATTGTTTTCCAGAATATACCTGATAGACGTTTAGCAACTTCCCTTTGCCTGAGTAAGCATACATATGCACCAATTCTTGCTCTGTACTGTTCGATTGATATTCCCATATTTTGGACTTACCAGTATTTCCGGTATACTAAAGCCCCGTCTACACGGGCAACTTTTGTGTGTCAATTTCTATTTGACAATTTTTATATGCTCGTATAGATGAGCAAAATTGGGCAATTTTTGTGTGGCAAATACATTTGCTGAAAAGCCGAGCTGTTAGTTTTTATGTGACAACTATAAGTTGTCACATATAAAAAATGCTCGTGTAGATAACTTGTCACAGGAAATGTGGCATTGTTGCTTCATGACAGTGGTTCCCAGGTCTCTTTTTTAAACCCGAATTGGGCAAAGATGGCAGCTCGCATGGTATGGTCGGATCGAGCAACATCCACGCTTTTGGAGGCTTTGAGAGATCAAGAAAGTTTATGGAATACTAAAAATGAGAGTTATAAAAATAGAACTATAAAAAAAAAAGATTATGAAGAGATCCTGGAAATATTAAAAAATGACAATTTTAATGTTGATTTGCAAACTGTTAAAGGTACAATCATTATTATTAATCATTCTGTATTGTTGTGCAATCAAAATTGAACAAATTAATATAATCAATAGTGGACTTCTTTGGTTAAAATTTACCCCGTGTCTGGGTCCCCACACAATGAATCTAGCACTTCCATTAAGCGTAATATGGGATTCTTAATATGATTGAATATTCTTAAATCTTAACTCCATGAGAGAAAATTGTCCTTAGAAGATGAAGCAGTTATTAAATTAAATGGAACAGGTTTAAATATTTCTTGCAAATTTTGTGAAATGTTCCTTAACGTTTTGAAAAAAACTAAATGTTGAAAAGATTTTTTTAATTTCTGGATAAT